TATTCTATGTTCATGGATAGGAAGACTGAATAATATTAAGATGTCAATTCTTACAGCTTTAGGTAAACTAATACTAAAGTTTATATGGAGATAGAGAAAAACCAGAACAGCCAATGCAATACTGGAGGAGGAGAACCCAGTTGGAACCCTGAGACTACTCCACTTGAAGACTTACTATAAAGCCATACCAGTGAAGACTGTGGTATTAGTGAAAGAATAGACATCAATTAATGGAACATAGGGGGAACTGAGAAATAGACCAACACAAGTAGTTAACTGATTTTTGTCAAAGGAGCAAAGGCAGTACAACAGTGCAGAGATCATCTTTTTAATAAATGGTATTGAAACACTGGACATCCACATGCAAAAAAAGAATCTAGAGACAGACTTTACACCCTTCACAAAAATTAACTAAAAATGTAACTTAAATGTAAAACATAAAACTATAAAACTCTTAGAAGATAACACAGTAGAAAACCTAGATGACCATTGATAGGGCATTTTTTTTTTTTTTTTAAGATACAACACCAAAAGCTTAATTTATGGAAGTATTGATAAGTTAGATTTCATTAAAACTATTGTAAAAAAACCTGCCGGGCAAAATAAAATTTAAAAGAATGAGAATAAGAGCCACAAATTAGAAGAATATGTTTCCAAAAGACATTTGTGATTAAGGACTATTATCCAAATATACAAAGAACTCAACAATAAGAAAATGAACAGCTCAATTTCAATAACATGATAAAAGACCTGAGCAGACACCATACCAAAGGAGATATACAGATGGCAAATAAACATTTAAAAAGATGCTCCACATCATATATCATCAGGGAAATGCAACTTATAACAGAAATGAGCTATCACTACACTTCTATTAGAATGGCCCAAATCTAGAATGTCAACACTTAATGTTGGTGAGGATGTGAAGTAACAAGAACTCTCATTCATGCTGGTGGAAAAGCAAGATGGTACATCTACTTGAGAATAAAATTGGACAAATTTTTTTTTTTTTTACAAAAGTAAACATATTTTTGTTATATGGTCCAACAATTGCCCTCCTTCATATTTGCTCTCAAATAACTTGAAAAGACTGTAACAAACTTCACACATGAATGTATACTAGTGTTTTCATCATTTCTAAAACTTGGAAGCAACCAAAACCTCCCCAGTATATGAATGCATACATGAGCTTTGGTACATTCAAACAATGGGATATTATCCAATGCTATTAAGACACAAAAGACATGAAGGAACCATAGATACATTCTATTACCGTATTTTTCGGACCATAAGATGCACCGGACCATAAGACGCACCAGTTTTTAGAGAAGGGAAATGAAGAAAAAAAGATTCTGAAACAAATAGTGTCCTAAAATATTTTATGTGCATTAAAACCCAACATCACAGTCATAAACACATGTAATCAACCCTGTAAAGTAAACAGCAGCATTTAGAACCATTTTAGAGCCGGGCAAGCACACAGAGACCACACAGAGCCGGGCAAGTAAAAAAACTTTTTTTTTAAAGTATATGTGTAGGCTATATTTGGACCATAAGACGCAGGGACTTTTTCCCCCCACTTCTGGGGGAAAAAAAGTGCGTCTTATGGTCCGAAAAATACGGTAAGTCAAAAAAGCCACTCTGAACAGGATATTGTCTGATTTGAAGTATATTACTACTTCTGGAAGAGGCAAAACTAGGAAGATGAAAGAAAGTTCAATGAGGGTTGGGTGCAGAGTGGAGGAGGTGCACAGAGGATTTTTATTATTTTACGAGAGGCCTAGTGCATGGATTTGTACAATGATGGAGTCCCTTGGTCTGGCCTGCAACCTCAATCCAGGACCTCTCAGGGGATGTCAAAGGCCTGGTGCATGGATTCGGCCCGATCCCCACAGACCAGGCTGAGGGACTCCACTGGTGCACAAATCTGTGCGTCTAGATCTTTGTTTAATCTCTTCCTGCCCTTCCCTATCCCCCTTTCCCTCTGAGATTCGTCAGTCTGTTCTATGTTTCCATGCCTGTGCATTGAGAGTCTCCCCCCTGGTGGTCAGTGCACATAATAGCTACTGGTCGAATGGTTGCTTAGGCTTTTAAATATAGAGATTATTATACATTTGTATCAAACTATATGATATGAAACACTAAAAGTGAACTTATTGTTGTAAGTTCTGGGCTTTCGGTAATAATGATTTAGTGGTGTAGGTTCATTGATTTTAATAAATGTACTATGAAGTAGTATTTTTCTAGTGGGGAAGGCTGTGAATATGTGGCAGTCGGGGGTATATGGAAAATATCTGTACCTTCGGCCCATTATGCTATGAATCTAAAACTGCTCCCCAAAGTGTATTAAAAAGCTCAAAAATGAGCCCACAAAAATTTAAATTCTGTTGAGACCTCCAATATTTGTAAAACTCTATATTCTGTCCTCAAAAATGATATATAGCTTTTCTGGGAGTATAGTTTTATGTTGATGATTATTACCTTAGAAATTATGAAGAAACTATTCCATTGTTTTTCTGATTTTTATTGTTGCTATTAAGAAGTCCCAACTAAGTTGGATTTCTGCTTCTTTATAAGACCTTTTGTTGTAGCTGCTAATTGTGCTTTCATCTATTAGCTTCTTTATTTCATAAGGATTTTTAATTTGGAGACTCATGTTCTTCATTATTGCAGTTTAAAAAATTTATTAGGTCATTTCCTTGTCCTACCCTTTTCTGTTCTTTCCTTCTGTTTTCTTTCTTTCTTTCTTTCTTTCTTTCTTTCTTTCTTTCTTTCTTTCTTTCTTTCTTTCTTTCTTTCTTTCTGATTCCTTTATTTCTTTTAAAAAAAAATATTGGACTCTGTGGTTATCATCAATTATTCTTTTCTCTCATTTTTTTTTTAGTTTTCCACATTTTAAATATTATTCTGTCTTGTTTTATGTGTATATATACTTTTTAAGTTTGGTCTTATTTCTTTTTAACTGCATGATTTCTAGTTCCTCTAAGAATTTTTACTTTTTTGCCTTTTTTAACTTTTATGTTTGAGTTTTTCCTTGGGTTTTAGTTAAATTGGGGCTTTTGGCTCATGTTTGCGTGCTAAAGACTGGTGGGTGGGTTTGAGGATGAAACTTGTTGATTGTGACCTTTACTGTAACATGGCTGGGATGGGCTGTGAAATTGGGGGCCTCTGAAAACCGTGTCCTCAGGACTTCTTCTGGGGAGAACATTGTTCCACCCTAACTTGGGCTACAAGTTTAAGGAGGTATGGATTCTCAGCATCTCTGTGTGTGTGTGTGTGTGTGTGTGTGTGTGTGTGTTTCATGTAATAAGTAATATCACTACGACTCCCATGTTGGATAACAAATGTTGACATTTTGTGCAATTATACATTCATTATCTTTCTTGGTTAAATACCATCTTGCTGTTCTTTTTCTGTCTGCCTTTGTATTAATATCTTATTTTTTATAATTTCATTTTATCACTATTGATTTCTTATTCATAACTTTAAAATGTCTGTTTAGTGATTATTTGTGGCCTCATTTCTGGGTTCAAGAAAAAGTTGTGCTTGTATAGTTTACCTGCTGTTTCTTTTCTTCAGAAATGAGCATCATTTTTCCCAACTTCCCATGTCCTAGGGAAAAGTGGAAGTCATTGTCAGTGTTCTTATGACACAGAAGTTCAAATGCAACTTGTCATGAAGCATGCATTGTTTGATCTCATTGTGAAAGCAAGGTTTTAATACCAACAATTACTAAAAACTCCATGACTAGTTGTAATATCATTCCATCCAATGAATGGAAAGTTTAGACCAGTCTTTCTGTCAAAATATTTAGCCTCTCTTTCTGGTATATATTTATACCTGACCCATAATTTTTCATGATTTCCAGTGACCCTGGTGACTGGAATCCTAGAGACTTTATGTAATGTATAGGCTGTTGGCATCTTGCCTAGTACATCACATGGCTGGCAGGGCACAGCATCAAGTAATATTCTTACCCCACCAGCTGGGATGGCAGGAGTAGCTGTTGCTATGGGCTCCTCTCAGTATTCACTTTGTGAGCATTTTGAGGGCTGTCCCCAGATGTGCTCAGTGTCCGGCCTCTGGGAAGAGGCAGGAACAGCATCATTGCTCGTCATCTTTGGGATTTAACCACAGGGTATAGAGACAACTGTTCACTGTACATACATCTCCCTCACATACTAGCAGATGAGATTGTGGAGGTGCTGGAAGCACAAAATAGAGGTTTTCCCTGAAGCCCTCACATAGCATTAAGTATTTTATCTCCTGACCTAATTCTAGACTCTCTTCTAGAGCTACATCTGTCACATTCGGTAGCAAAATGTTTGTTATAAACCAGTCTCCCCTTCCAGACTGGAGTCCTGGAGGACACAATAAGTGTCTCCTTTGTATTTATATGGTGCCACTTAATACAAAGCATGTAATAGGCACTCAGTATTATTCAGCTGAATTATATTATGTTGGTAATTTTAATTATTCTGTTTAATATGCTTTAAAATGTTGTTTATATTTTCCTCAATGTATAAAAGACCTTTGTAAAACTGTGTCCAATTTTGGAATAAAAATATAAATCATTTTAAAAGGATGTATTGATATTTAAACTATTAAGGTGAATGAGAGACCTATGACCTATACATATAAGGAAGGGGATTTGGAGTTTTATGAATACATATATTTGTTAAATCAAATTGTGATATGGAAATCCTTAGGCATTTTAGAAACATGTTTGGAAAGGTAACTTATGAACAAAAGAAATTAAATATTCTGACATCGGAAATGACTGAGGAAGTTTGAGACTTACCATTGCAACATTCCTATTTTCTACTGGCTGTTAGTGCATAGGGAAAACTATTCTATAACTTGAATAATCAGTAGCTAATCAAAGAGCTTGGAAATTCTGTAGGCTCTTCCTTTCCTCTATGTAATTGGTTATACAATAATTGATTAAGTTTTCCTTAAATTTTTATTTTAACTTGTTAACTTTGTTTCCCCCTTCCCAGTGTAGTGACTATGACCTGGAATTTGGAACTGAGTGTTTGCAACTGGCTCTAAAATACTGTCATGTCAAGGCCAAACTTGTGGAAGGATCACCTGATCTCTGGAAGGTAATGGAATTGGTACTCTGTTCTGGGAATTGTCTGTGCTTATGTCATTCCGGAAGACACATGTTGCAAGTACAAACACCTTTCAGGTACTTTAGAAAATGGGGAAATAGTTAAAAATACTTGGTTTCATGCTGAATCACTATTTCTGGAAGAAAAGGTGTGTGTGTGTGTGTGTGTGTGTGTGTGTGTGTGTGTGCATACATTAAGGTATTTAAAAAAGTTGTACTGGTTTTTTTGAGCCATCAAAGTATGGTATTGCTTCTATTATTTGGTTTTAAGAAAATTTACTTTGACACAATTTAAAAATAAATAGCCAGTAAGACTGCTTTATCTACATATTTTTTCTTGTTCTCTCTGTGTGTCCTTTTACTCTATTGCCTTACACTCAACTGGATTTGAGGATGGAACTCTGTTTTCCACAGTAGTCCTGGGGTGGGAGTGCCAATTTTTTTGGAATAATGATGTGCTTTAATAGGACCTTGAATTCAATGGATTGGGCAAAAATATTTCATATGACAGTGAGAGGCCTTTTATAGATATTACATTTCTTCTCTTAAGTGAGGTGACATTACTTAGAGTATAAATATTGCAGTTGTTTCTGGCTCCCTGTTTCCTTCTTCTGCCTCCTGTTATTCATTATCTTCCATCATTATATCTATCTATCTATATCTATATCTATATCTATATCTATATCTATATCTATATATATACATATATATATATATAACCCAATATACAAATAGACTGAGCAGCAGAACAACTGAACAGTCACTATAATGTGCGCTGACCACCAGGGGGCGCACGCAGAATGTGGCAGGTGTTGGCTGCGGTGGGATAGTGTAGCAGGTGTTTGGGGGTGCCAGACCAAGGTGGGGTGCCAGTCTCTGCCATCAGGGCGAGCCTCTGGTGGTTACCGAAAATTCTTTGCTCCCCCATGCTGTGGTCCCACCAGGTGCTCACACTTGCTGCCAATTCCAGTCCTGTTTGCACCTGCTGCCAGCTCCAGAGTTGCCACTTGCACCCACTGCTGGCACCCAGCGCCAGCCCTGATCACTCAGCACCATCACTGGGTGCCAGGGACGGCTGCCAGCTCCGATCGCCCCTCAGGGCTTCTCTATCTCCTGCTGGTCCTGAGGGGCTATCTGGGCCAGCAACCGCTGCTCACACTCACTGCCAGTGATGGCCCTGCTTGCACCCATTGCTGGCACTGCCCCTTTCATACCTGCAGCCAGCTCCAGAGCCACCGCTCGCACCCGCTGCCAGCACCTGGCACTGCCCCCAATTGCTCGGTGCCATCAGCGGGTGTGAGCGGCAGCTGTCGGCCCCAATCGCCCCTAAGGGCTTCTCCACATCCCCCTGCTTCTGAGAGGCAATCAAGGAAGCAGCCACTTGCACCTGCTGATGGCGCTGGGCTCCACTCTCACCCACTGCTGGCACCAGCCCCAGTCACTCTGTGCCATTAGCAGGTGCAAGTGGGGCCGGTGCTGTCGGCACATGGAGGTCGTGGCAGTGGGAGCAGGAACTGCCAACAGATGAGACCAGGGGCCAAGGTGGGAGGAGCCAGGTGAGGCTTGGAGGGTGGGCCAAGACCAGCCATTGTTTCCACTGCAGCCTCACAGCACAGAGTTCCTTTCAAGGTTTACAAATTTGTGCACAGGGCCTCTAGTTTTTTATTTTATTTTTTAAATAATTCCCAGGTGTTTATTTAGCCTCTTATGATGACATTGTATGAGATGTCTTTAGTATATACTTCTAATTTAATTACTTTTATGATATTACCATTTCGTATGAATAGAGATTATTTCAGTTGCTTTTAAACCAAAATAATGGAATCTCCACTTTGACAGTAGTGCTCTAATTCTATAATAATTCCAATGTTTCTACCATTGGCTAAAACTCAGATGTGAGAAAAGATTTTGTATTATTACGCTAAAATTAATACTGGACTCCGGTATCTGGAGCAGAAATCTGACACAGTGACAAACACATCTCAGGAGGCATGGCACTTCCAGAAGACAGAGCCAGGGCATCTTCCCCTACCGCTCCGAAGTCAGGATGCTCACCCTCTCAGTGGTGTGAGGACTGTGACTAGGACTGTTACTCTGATACCAGAAATCCCAGGAGGGTTATTATTTCTGTATTTTACATACTTTTTTATTTATTCATTTATTCATTTATTCATTTATTCATTTATTCATTTATTTATTTATTTATTTATTTTTTGGTAGAAATAAATGTAAAAGGTAAAATTCAGAGTTGATGTCAATGTTCTTGCAGCAGGCACCCTGGGGCATGGAGGAAACATCAGTTTTCATCAAGTCACCCTGCAAAGTAGAGGCCATCCCCATAAATGAGCCACCCTCTCCCCAAAGAGTGACCAACCACAGAAGAGACCAGAAATAGGTGTTAGCGCTCATGCTTTCTGAGTGCTGGTGCCTTGTCGGGCTCAGTAAACACTTACTGCTCTCAATGGAATTCCGTCTCGCCTGTAGGACTTCCATCTCTTTAATGGGTAGATGTGCCGTGTTTTTGTCTGAAATATAATTAAATATTTGATCACTTACTAGACTGTGTAAATCTAATTGAACAGACTTCCTGTTTCTAAATGTAAAACCATCCTCAGGGCTTGAAAGATTTATAGATTTATAACCAGTTATTTAAGAAATTCAGCTGTGTCCCGTTGTCTGAAAAGGCTTCTTTAGGAGGAGTTTCTGAAGTGTTTGAGTCATCACAGTATTACTGGAATGACTGACTTTTGAGGATTCCTTTGGATGTGAACATTTTTTTTTTTTTTTTTTTTTTTTTTTTTTTTTTTTTAAGGAGCCAAGTGTTCTAGCATCCTTGTTAAGAACTAAAGAAACAAAAGTCTCACTTTTTGCCCCCCCCCCCCTTTTTTTTTTTAAATCTGAAAAATACACTGTGGTGGCATAATTTCTTTTTTGGAGGTTTTCATCTAGTTATTCAGTCTAGAAGAAAGAATATTTTCAACATAGATGTAACTGATGAAACAGAAATAAATATAATAAATATCCCCCAGTCTACATTTGTATCTATTGGGTCGGCAAGTAAGTAATTGCGGGTTTCACACATATATGGCTTCAGTTGAATTTTTAGGTTTGCAGACGTAGTAAAAATGTAAAACACATTTTGTTATTTGATAGTTGGCTATTCAGCTGTTAATCAGTAAAAAAAGTTTTTTGATCTGTTTTGTAGTTTTCGTTTGGCGTTCGTTGAAAAATGGAAAATCATAAGGAACATTTTCGTCATATTTTGATTTTTTATTTCCACAAAGGGAAAAACGCATCGCAAGCTCATAAAAAGTTATGTGCTGTTTATGGTGACGAAGCCTTAAAAGAACAGCAGTGTCAAAATTGGTTTGCCAAATTTCGTTCTGGTGATTTTTCACTCAAAGATGAAAAACGCTCTGGTTGTCCAGTTGAAGTTGATGACGCCCTAATCAAAGCAATAATCAATTCGGACTGTCACAGTACAACACGTGAGATTGCAGAGAAGCTTCATGTATCACATACATGCATTGAAAATCACTTAAAACAACTTGGCTATGTTCAAAAACTCGATACATGGGTTCCTCACAAACTGAAAGAATCACAGTTAACGCAACGCATTAGCAGCTGCGATTTGCTAAAGAAACGTAATGAAAATGATCCATTTTTAAAACGACTGATAACTGGCAATGAAAAATGGGTTGTTTACAACAATATCAAGCGGAAAAGATCGTGGAGCAGGCCAGGTGAACCAACTCAAACAACATCAAAAGCTGATATTCATCAAAAGAAGGTTTTGTTATCAGTTTGGTGGGATTACAAAGGAATTGTCTACTTTGAACTCTTACCACCCAACCGAACGATCAATTCTGATGTCTACATTGAACAACTAATGAAATTAAACAATGCAGTTGAAGAAAAGCGGCCCAAATTGACAAATCGAAAAGGTGTTGTATTCCATCATGACAATGCAAGGCCACACACATCTTTGGTCACTCGGCAAAAATTAATGGAGCTTGGTTGGGATGTTTTGCCACATCCACCATATAGTCCTGACCTTGCACCATCTGATTACTTTTTGTTTCGATCTTTACAAAACTCCTTGAATGGTAAAAATTTCAATAATGATGATGATGTCAAATTGTACCTGATTCAGTTTTTTGCTAATAAAAACCAGAAGTTTTTTGAACGTGGGATTATGATGCTGCCTGAAAGATGGCAAAAGGTCATTGATCAAAATGGGCAATACATTACAGAATAAAGTTATTTAGTTCCATGAAAAAATTGTCTTTGATTTTCTTTAAAAAATCCGCAATTACTTACTTGCCGACCCAATAGTAAACATTCTATATCTTTAAATTTTAAGATCTTCTGGATTCTAATTATTGGAGTTACATATTCATTTTCTCATGCAGTGAAAGGTGGGAGAACATTAAGTATAGTATAACGAAACTCATGTAAGATGATAGCCAACTGGACTTGACCCTGAAAAGTCTTATTTACGATATTGAGTGTTAATGCAGATGGAACAACGCAAAGTAGGTGTGACAGTGTTTGTGTTTTTGGTGCTCATCTGGAGGTAGCTGAGAGAGCCCTGGCCTCGTATTTGGAAGAAATCTATCTCTGTGGCTCTCAGTTTCAAGTTTTTCTTCAATTGAAAAAAAAAAACAACCCACATATACTTACATATGCACATGTATACATATGTATGTGTATATATGTAAGTATATTTCACATATACATTTTATCTAAACACTTTACCTAGATGAACTATAGCACAGAAGCACAGTCGAACTACTCAGACAGAACTTGAGCTTCCCGAGGTGAGTGGCAGGTGTGGGGCTCAGAGTCTCAGGCGCACAGAGCCCCTCCCCTGGGGTGCAGGTGGCCCCGGAGGCTCTAAAGCCCCAGTGTGAAAGCCAGTAAATCAGAGGACCAAGGCTCCCTCCCATCACTACGAGGTTGATTCTTTTAAAAATAACTGTCATGAGGTGTCATGTAAAGACAAAGAAAAACTATAGATCATGCTGACAGAAGAAAATCAACTTCAAAACTGATCATTAAACTGTTTTTGAAATTAAAAATAAGGAAAGGACAACCTATGTTACTATGAGTCTGACAGAAACGGAGTAAGTCATTAATTCAGAATTACATTTCCCAGTATTTTTCCCTTAGAGAAAAGGGCTGTTTTAGACTCAGTATTTAACAAGTTTAAGAGAAATATTTTGTTATTTATTTTCATTACATCAGTGTTTTAGAAGTAGAGCTGAGGTATTCAGTATGGCTTTATGTTGAAGATATAAAATACAAAGCATTTAATCAGCACATGGCTGGTATCCATAGCTTATAAGAAAAAAGTAGACAGAGGAAATTTAGTACTCTTTCTTGTTTGCACAGTTAATTATTTAATAATAGTGGAGAGAGGACTTTTGGGTAATAAAGACATGTATTTTATTCATAATACGGACTCCAATGCAAAAATGTCTTGGAAGTATGCTAGAAAAACACTTTAGTATTTGAAAGCAAGTTTTCTCTTAATTAAAAACATCATTAAGATTTATTTGAAAAAAAAAAAAAAGACTTTCACAATTCTATTTTAAGTTGGAATCAATCTTATCCCTCAACAAAAACAGGAGGGGATAGAGATGAATAAGGTAATTAACCACCTTCCCATTAATTTCTGCATTTACACAGTGGACAAATATAGAAATAAGGCATTTTCTCATTTAAATTGCACACATTGAATCTTTATTTCAGATATGTAGCTAACTTTGATTTTTCAAGCAACAAAAGAAAAACATTTAATTCTTATAAGAAAAATCTCTCCACTAAAATGTAGTCCACTCAAGTGAACGAGTTTTTCCCATTCCTTTGAATCCTCTATTGTCCGCACTTAGAATAGGACTTTGACTAGGACCTAGAACACAGTAGTTATATGATAAGTATTTGCTAAATGAATGAATGAAATCAATACTAGTGCAACCTTTAATTTGCTAAAATGCACAGCATGAACTTTTAAATATCTGTTTTCTATTTTTCCCCCAGATAATAGGTCAGTAACTATAGTTCTAGTTTTCTTTGGCATGTACTTGATTTAGAGATAATGTAGCAATGTCACATTTACTTTAAATAGATTAGTTGAATGCTTGAGCAATTTCTCATCTGTCTTAAAAATTGACCGCTACTTTTAATTCTGGATTGTAGTTTGGGGCTAGGATTTATCAGCCAGGATAAAGGCATAGAGTAGGAATCTGTTTTGGTTAGAAGTGCCCTGGGTCACTTGAGCTGAGCAAAGTTTCTGTACAAGTGTCGTTATGAAATAATTTGGAGGGGAAAAGAAGTTTAAATTGTAGGCATAGAAAGGTACTATTGATAATTTGGTGAGAGTACTTCTCAAAGTGGGTTTTTAGACAAGTTGCATTCTAATCTGGGCATTTGAATGATGAGCTCCTAAGACCTTATAGTATTTATTATTTACAATAGTTCATTACTTAGTACATTTTCAGTTCTGTGGTATGGGAGAACTATTCTGTGATGCAGTACACCTGACATGTTCTGTATCTGAGCTCAGTGATATGGCCTGGGACGTATCTGCCAAAGGACCATGTCAGGTTACATTACAAAGAGCCCATTACAATTGTGAGGAGGCTGCATGTTTTTAAGGAAAGATTGTGATTATTCTTATGTACATGGTGGTGCCTTAAATGCTCTTTTTATCAGAGCCAAAAATCCTCATAAGGTGAACCTTGTGGGTACATACAGACAAATTCCATTCAGAAGAAACTCCCTTCTTAATGTGAGTTGACCTTTGAGAATTTCCTCATTTCAGCTAAAGAGGTGACTTGGTGATTTTTTGTTATATTGTACTTACCTTTTCTTCCTTCCTAAGTAAAACCTCACTGTTAAACAAGAATTCTAATACTTTCATATAAATACCACCACATATTCTTTGATAAATTTCTGTTATGTTGACAAGAATTCAACAAACAAATCTCTAACCATTTGTGGAAATAAAATACATTATTCAGAATTTGCTGATGTTGATGTAATTTAGAAATTGTCAGTATTATGTGTTTATAGTTTCTCCCAAATCAAGAATTTCCTTGGGGGTATAATTTTATTGCTCTCACATTCCTTCCTGCTCTGTTAAATCTAATGAGGTTTATCTGTCCTTTAGGTGACCTACAAACGAGATTTGTATGCAGCTGAATCGATTATTAAGGGTATGTTTGGCCTTGTGACTCTCAGTTCCTGTGTTTCAGAAATGTAAGCCAGTTCAGAATTTCTCATGACATTTTAGATCTCAGAATTCTCAGAAGTATAAATGCCCGTAGGCCATGGAAGTCTGTGATTTGCTTTTTTGAAAAATAATTACATGTTGCTTTGTTTCCCGCTTGTGAAATATCACTTATTATGTGTGATTTATGTCGTATTGGTCTTACTTTTTATAGAGGAAATGCTTTATTAATTTGAAGAAAGTATGGGACATTGGCACTATTCAAAGTAGCAACCGATATTTTAGTAAATTTATGAAGGTTTTTATATTTTACTGTTACTATTAAGAGGACTGATCCCCCATCACTATATCAGTGCATTAGAAAGCATCTTTCGTATGAAAATATTATTCTCAAAACACGGAGATTGGACTGACTGACTTTTTACATTTTTTTTTTCTTTCTGGTTCTGACAATGACTAATTTTGTTGGGTAGTTTTAGACATTACATGCATAATAACCCCTTTCTCATTCTTTTTTCATCTCTATGACTCTAAGGTCCCAGCTATGCAGTGGTAATTTATTTAATAATCAACAAATATTTATCCCTGTGCTTCATGCTGTGCTAGGAATATAATAATGAGGCCTATACAGGACATTCGTCCTGCGTGTTTGCAGCCCCAATTGCGTACATCAAGGATTCCGGGCCGTGGCATTGGAGGCTGGGTGATTCTTTGTTGAGGGCACTGTTTCTGGCATTGAGTGTTGAGCAGCAAGCCTGCCTCTGCTCACTTCACACAGAAGCACTCCTCCCTCCCCCGCCCCCCCCCCATGGCGGGAACACCTGAGGTGTGTTCTGGGCGCAGCACTGTGTGAAAGGCATGGTCCTGACAGAACTCAAGTGGGTCCACCCCCCAGTCCTGAAACAAATGCAGTGCCTTTCAAGGTCAGTAACTGATTTCTTTAAAAAATGGATGGAGGACAGAACTGTGTGCTCCATTTCTGACCGGTGAACTTGTAAACTCTCTTGAAAAGTGAACTTATAAATTCAAACTTGGAAGTTGGAAAAGAAAACTAAATCTGAATTCTGAATGCATCAAGTGTATTATCAAGTTTTGGGAAAACCACCTATGAAACAATCAAAAACTGAAATATTATTATTATTTTTTTTTTCCTGGGCATGATATTATTTATAGTTTACCCTCCAGGCTATTTTTTTTTTTTTTTTTGCCCTTTAGGGATATTGTGTTTCAAACCATTAATGTACTGTAATTTGTGTCTGTGTATCTGTGTATATAAACAGATCACCTATAGCTATAAATCAAACTGTTGACATGTATTTACTTATGAGCCAGGGGATGTGTAAACATTACTTTGGAGAAGTTGGCTAAACCATGATGTGGTTGGGTTACATTCTCAACTCAAGGAAAGATAAAAGTCTCGTTGGTTTCTTTACAAAGTCCTATCTCTGTTTACTAGGTGAAATGGAAATGATCTATTTTGTGACTAGTTGGTAAGTGGTTCTGTACACTTCTGCCTCTGTATCATCAGAGCAGGCTGCTTAGCATGTCAAAGCCTACATTTTAAGTGTAATTGCAGGGGCTGTAGTTTTGGTAATTGCTTGCAGAGAGATGTCAGTTTTCTTATTTAGGTACCATAGTCTCCTAGACTCCTTTTATTTTTAATGTATTTAAAAAGTATTCTACTTTTATTCCCAGGGAAAGTCTGACTGGATGTAAACAGCCGATTTAGAGCAACAATTTCCCAGCGTTTCCTTATGCCCCAGGGTTTGCTTTTCTAATAATCCCCAAGAGATTCTGATGTTGCCTATTCATGGTGAGGACCACTGCTCTGGGGCCTTCCTACTCCCCATGTGGGCCAGCAGCCTTCTGACTCCCTGAGAACCAGAATGCAGAAGTCTGGCCCCATCACAAGTTAGAATCTGCATTTTAACAAAAACTCTGGCTGATTTGTACATCAAGTTCAGGAAACATTCCTCTAGGTTGCTCTTCATTGTTCATTTCTTTTTTTCTTTTTCTTTTTTAAAATATATTTTATTGATTTTTAACGGAGAGAAAGGGAGAGAGATAGAGAGCTAGAAACGTCAATGAGAGAAACATCGACCAGCTGCCTCTTGCACACCCCCTACTGGGGAAGTGCCCGCAACCAAGGTACATGCCCTTGACCGGAATCGAACCTGGGACCTTTCAGTCCGCAGACCGACGCTCTACCACTGAGCCAGGCCATCTTCATTGTTTATTTCTTTCCAAATAATAGATCTGTGCATTAAAAGCTTGGCATCTTGCTGCGTTCCATCAGCTCCACATGCTTGTTCGCTCCGCTGAGATTGCTACCTGCTTCCAGGACTTGCAATAATACTACTACCTCTGAGGCCTGATGGCAGAAATACCTCTGGGCAGAGGAAGAAGAAAACTCTTGGATTTTTAAAAATCAAACTGTTGACATATATTCCAAAATATAATATGGTATAGAGCCAGCTAACTATCTGACCTCTATATTCACCTGTTTGCCTTTTCCTAGTAAGTGTTCAAAGTATTTTTCTAGGCACTTTCTTTATTGGTATTTACTTTGTGCCAGGCATTGTTTATAGCATTTTGTATGGATTATTTCTTGCTTCTCCAGGAACTCAGTGGCTTAAGTAGTGTTATTGTTCCCATATTACACAATATCCAATGTTTCTAAGCCAATTCTAACTTGAAAGGGATGGAAAATTCATTCTTTAATCCAGGTTGCCACCTTAGGCAGTTTACCTCTTTATAATGTTATCCTCCCTTTTATTCCTTAAGTAGATATTGTTCAGATTCCCTTGTCTGAAATCCTTGGGCTACATGTGTTTTGGAACTTGGAATACTTTATATTCTCCAAAGCTACTGTATTACGCCACATATTATGTCACATCGTCAGTGGGATTTGGGACCTCACCACAAAACAAGACTTGTAATATGTAAATGTTTACATTCAATGCCAGGGTAATGGCTATTGATCCTCTAGCCAGTTCAAGTTTAGAACTGATTTGGCCTCCAAATTTATATATTAAAACAGTTTAAAATTTTATTTTAAGAACTTTTCGAATTTCACCATTGCCCATAACTTGATGTGAACCTTTTTGAGGTTGTGAATCAGTGAAGGTGGGAAGAATGTCTAATTTTTTTTTTCGTTTGCATCTTCTAACATTGACTTGAATTGAGCGATATGTCCAAGGGTGCTGCTACGCATGTGTTTTACCTTTGAATCTGGGGACCTTAAATTGTGGGAATAGATAGGTGTCCATTCCCTCTCACCTTTCTGCACTACATGCTTCCAACAGATGCATGTTGAGATCCAGTGAATCTATCCCAAAATCATATATATATATATATATATATATATATATATATATATATATATATATGTTTTTTAAGTATTGTTTTATTTATTTATTTTAAAAATAAATCTTTAATATTCAGATTATTACAGATGTTCCTCTCCCCCCCACCCCCATGGCTCCTCTCCAGCTGGTTCCCCTCTCCCACACCCCATGCCCTTACCCCTCGCCACTGTCCTCATCCATAGATAAAAGATTTTTGTCCAATCTCTTCCTGCACCCCTCATGTCCCCTTGAATTATCAGTCCACTACCTTCTATGCCCCTGATTCTATAATATTCACCAGTTTATTCTGTTCATCACATTATTCACTTGATTTTTAGATTTAGTTGTTGATATGTATTTGTTATCACTTTGTTGTACATAATTTTTATCTTTACCCTTTTCTTCTTCCTCCTCTTCTTAAAAAATACCCTTCAGCATTTCATATAATCCTGTTTGGTGGTGATAAACTCCTTTAGCTTTTTCTTGTCTGTGAAACTCTTTATCTGACCTTTAATTCTAAATGATAGCTTTGCTAGGTAGAGTAATATTGGTTATAGGTTCTTGCTGTTCATCACTTTGAGTATTTCTTGCCACTCCCTTCTGGCCTGCATAGTTTCTGTTGAGAAATCAGCTGACAGTCGTATGGATACTCCCTTGTAGGTAATTGTTTTTCTCTTGCTGCTTTCAAGAATCTCTCTTTGTCTTTTGCCCTTAACATTTTTATTTTTTTATTATCATTATTTTCTTTCTTTCCTTCCTTCCTTTCTTCCTTCCTTCCTTCCTTCCTTCCTTCCTTCCTTCCTTCCTTCCTTCCTTCCTTCCTTTATTTTTGTTTTTTTGTTTTTTTGTTTTGCCCTTAGCATTTTAATTATGATGTGTCTTGGTGTGGTCCTCTTTGGATTCCTCTTGTTTGGGGTTCTCTGCACTTCCTGGACTTGTAAGTCTATTTCTTTCATCAGGTAGGGGACGTTTTCTGTCATTATTTCTTCAAATATTTTGCTCTCTCTCTACTTCTCACATCCCCATAATTCAGATATTGGTTCACTTGAAGTTGTCCCAGAGGATCCTTACACTATCTTCATATTTTTGGATTCTTTTTTCTTTTTGTTTTTCTGGTTGGGTGTTTTTTTTGCTTCCTCATATTTCAAATCTTTGATTTGATTCTTGGGATCCTCTTGTCTACTGTTGAATTTCTGTATATTATTCTTTATTTCAGACAGCGTATGCTTAATTTCTGACTAGTCTTTTTTCATTTTTTTGGCATTCTCATTTAGATCCTTGAAGGTCTCACTAAGTTTCTTGACCGTTTCTAGAATATTCTTAAGTATCTTTATAACTGTGATTTTGAACTCTATATCCAGTAGTTTGTTTGCTTTCCTCCATTTCTTTCATTTGTGACATGTTTCTTTGTCTTCGCATTTTGGTGGATCCCTGTGTTGATAGAGTGGCTTTATGTGGTAAGTGTGCTATAGGGCCCAGTGGCTCAGCCTCCCCTATCACCTGAGGATGACACTCCAGGTTAGGGGTGTCGAACTCAATCAGAGAAGGGGCCAAAATCTAAAATCCAGCCTAAATCGCGGGCCGAATGGTTTACTGAACAGTCATAAACTGTCATTGATGGAAACGCAGCGGAGTGCAG